TTTTGTGTGTCGACCCATTGATCTCGATTGTGTTGATTGGAAATTGCAGTGGTGACTGGTGGTGGGATGGTAGGCAGTGGCAGTGATGACTGGTTGATTGTAATGGTTGTTTGTAGTGGTGGTGATTGGTTGATTGCAGTGGTTGTGTTGATTGCAACGATGGTGTCTAGTTGTGTTGATTGCAATGGAGTGGAAATTGCAGTGGTGGTGAATAATGTTTCTGGTTGTGTTGATTGCAGTGGAGTGGAAATTGCAGTGGTTGGTCCAAATTTATCCTTGATTATCTCAGCCCCATTTGGCTTGCTTCAATTTCTGGTTGTGTTGATTGCATGTATGTTTAACTGTTTTCTCATTGTCCTACAACCAAGTAAGACTCCACAATATATATGTATTATCAGTCTGCAATTCAATTTGTTAGAAGATATATTCTTGATGGATATTAATCAGGCCAAAAAGGAAAATGTAGGTAGGAGACGAGATCACATGTGTGCCTTTTTCTGTGTACCTTTCTTTCATGGTCATTGTTTTCACTGGTTTAGATAAGATGCATCTGGAGCATTGGCAGCAGCCATGAATTTGTAGCATAACTTAGCAAAGATCCAATCTCTAAATGGACTGGGGCTGCCATTACAATGCAAGCTTCATCACTTCCTAGTTTAGCGCAACCTGGCCGATATTCGGTTCTTTAATAGTAAGTCTTTCATTATTAGATGTTGATTAGTATCATTTTTTTTTTCTATATTGTACTGACTGCTAGAAATGAAACTCCTAGAAACATGTTTTCGTTGTATTGACTGCTCTGAGAGTGACCCTCCTTATCTTTCTTTTGTTATGGTCCTGTCAAACCACCCCCTCTGGTTTGAATTTTTAGATGGATTGTTTTGGGAACATCAGTTTCTTATGCTTCTTGTTTGTATATGTACTTTGTTTAACGAAATTTTCGATTGATAGAAAAAAATTTCAAGGACAAGTTGCAACTATTTGAAATTTCCATGATGGTTAACTATTTCCGCCACCTCATAATAATGATATGATATTGTTGTTTTCATAAAGGTTCCCCATTGCCATTGGTTAACAATATGCTAGTCAGATTGATTTTAACATTATCTAACGGTTATCCATGCTAACTTGCAAAGAGCTGCATTCAACCTCTTTATTTCTCCGGAAAATTCCTGACACTCCTAGCATGCTGTCCAATAATGCCTAAGTAAAGAAAATCATATTGTCCTTTCGTTCTGTATGTCAATTGTTTTTGATGTAATATCGAATTGGATGAGCTTTTGTGCTTATACTCATGTTTGGTACAAGTTACTAAATACGACTAAACAGTAGAGGTTTAATGCACAGATTTTAAACTCTTTTTCCTGCCAATTGGAACTATCTACTTGTGAATTTGTCAAATTTAATTTAGGTTATATTTTTTATATTTGGAAAAAAAATATTTCAAGATTCACCAACTTCAAAATTTATATGCTATTTAATACTATATTAACATTAAACTATTAAAACTTATTGAATAATCAGATTTCTTGAATAAAANATCTTAAATAAAATACTATTAAAAAATTCTCAAAATTTCAAAGTAAACGCGTTTTCCATTTTTATGTTTTCAGAAACAGTTTTTCAGAAAGACAAAAAGAACGCATTTTCAGAAATTTCAAAACTGACACACAAAACACAAAACACAAAATGAATTCAAAATTCAAAACACAAATTTGAAACACAAAGAGAACGGCCCCTAACGGATTTGATCGAGTCAATTTTAAAAGCACCCCTAGATCTCCCCAGCAAGTAAATAGCTAGGAAATTTTTTTGATTGGCTATGCCTCCATATAGTACATGAAGTCGAAAGGGGTTCACAAATGACAATTGTTAAATGCAAATTTAACAGGCAAACATCAGGTAGCAAACACGCCAGTTAGTCGAAACAAATCCCTGGTCGAGCTAATATATCATTGTGTGCCAAAAGATGTGCGATAAACAGACAAGGCATTGAGAAAACATGAGATATTATCATTAGAGAATTTCATGTTTGTACCATTTGGTACCCAAAAAAGGAAACCAGTTCTTCAGTTCACATCTTTTTTAGCAAAATAACGGAGCAGCATTGCGGTAAAAGTTTACATCATTTCCTGTGACCGTCTTACACATCGACTGACCTTTTTCTTGAAGTTATCCCTTTGATCTCTCCATTCCTTCTGCAATAACCAATCGGAAAACAGGAAATCAGTGATCCACTTGTGAAGTAGGTCTAAAAGGAGGAAATGAGCATGTCGACTGACAATCATGCCGCTACTGACATATTTCATTAATAAAGCGAGAGAGAAGCAACTTGCCAAAAAAAATCCGAGAGGGAGAAGCTATTGACTAAACATGAAAGAGGCCTACACTGGATTGTCAAACCACACAGTACAAATAAACATGCAAAAGGCCAAACATCTAAATATCACAAAAAGGAACTCCAATTGAAATGAGACGAGGTATGTTTCATGAACTTGCTTTCAAGTTAAAATTAGATCCAACATGCATCAATAAAAGATATTAATAGTTCAAATGAGTTGACAATTTTTAGACCAAACCAGACTACATTATTTCTCAACAAAGAAGTCCATTTTAAAGAGAGGCGAGACTAAAAGCATGTATGGGAGTTGATTATAATCGGTTTAATTATAAATAGATTTAAATGAGGGGTGGATAAGTGGGTAGTCCTTGTGAGTATCATGAAATGTGTGGATTAAAAGTAGGTTTTATCAAAAGTAATTATTATAATTTAACACATGCCAAACAAGTGGTAAGACGACCAACTACTTCCAAGATAAAGCAACATCTCTGAACATCTTAAAAGTTGCAATTCTTATTCTGTAGTTTTTTAAGATTCTTCAAAAAAAAATTGTACGCCACTAACATTGATATTTCATAGAGCAATCATCAGATGCATTGACACTTACAGCGGCTTCGACGTTCGCAGGAGATTCATCATTAGGACTTGAAAGCATTGATATGATGCTTAGAACTATACTTTCCACCTGAAATTAAAATTCTTCCGATCAACTTATATTCTATAGATGCATAGTCAACATTAAAAAGGGAAGTATTACATTGTGATATGAAGTCCTACAAAACTAGTGTCAGTCGACTACAATACAGAAGGAATAATAATTAAAGCTGGAAGCAATTTGTTAGGGTGCCCCGCAATCAGCGACAAAAGACAAATAATTACTCAGAATATCTAGAAGAACAAACAACATCCCTAAACCAAGCCCATGTGATAGGATTATTCAGAACCCCTGACCAAACGTTGGAAGATGCTTCTGACAAGCAGAATCATTACCAAATACATGTCTATGGGAAAGTTCCCCTTCCTTCACCTTACAAATTTATCTGTGCTATCAACCATTGATAACAGAGAGAAACTTATCAACAGTTCTAAATCCAAAACTCTCTTTTAAGAGGTCCAAGAAAATCAAATCTTTTTGTCTTTTGAAGCATTTATTTGGTTTCATCTAACAAGCAATATAATCTTACACATTACGATTAAAATCCCTCCAATTGGTTCTTGCTTACAAATACTCAAACTAGAGGACCTAAACAATCACCTTTAAGACAACGTACTACTCTATTTTGACTCCACACCACACCATCGTTGTTCCTAGTACGACTAAAGGAACTGGAAATATATTAGCAACATGAATTAAAACTCAGCAAATAACATGGAGAAAAGGGTCTCATCTTGTATATGTCTAGTAGTCACATCAACGAATAATCACAGTCTAGTAATCACATCAACAAGTAAAGTACTATTTTGATACAAATCAATTGCAATAAAAAATTCCTAGTAACATCTCCTTTATATTCTCAATCGTGACTTCTTACTCACGCAAAAGTGAGCAAGCTAACTTGACCAAATCACATAGAATCGAAGGAGAAGTAAACTTCACAGCGGGCAGAGTCTTTTACTACCCTTCAGAATAAATATGTGAGAATATATATATATATATATATATAT